TCTCTTCAGGCAGGCTTTTCTGGAATAGTTAATCCCGGCCTCAGGAACCCCCTAACAACAATTGTATTATATGTTGATTTTAATTTGTATTGATTTAATAATGTTTTAAGGGGGGGGGGAGGATTTTGAGTTGTTTTATACTATGTACTATCTTACTGTTGTAAGCCGCCCTGATTGTTCGCAGAGGGGTGGGATATAAATTATTATTATTATTATTATTATTATTATTATTATTATTATTATTATTATTATTAGAACTGATGTCCTTTCAGAAGGACTTTAGATGGCTGGACTGCAGCTCCCATCGTCCTTGACCAAGGCCATGCAAAACAAATTCTCTTACATCAAATTGGATGGAAAATTTCTTATATATGAAATATTTTTGATACAAATGATAGACTATACTTATGGAGTAAACCTATGGATGGATGCCCACTTTTCAAAATATTATGTGTGTGCATGTGTGTGTACACGTGTGCATTATAAAGTATTTGTTAAAGCCTTCTGTTCCAACACTCCCTACAATAGTAATATGTATGGTTGAACTCTATCAGTCTGGAAATAAAATAAGACTTGCTGTTGTTGCGTGCCTTCAAGTCATTTCCAACTTAAGGTGAACCCATCATAGGATTTTCTTGGCAAGTTTCTCCAGGGGGGAGGGGTTGCCATGGCCATCCTCTGAGGCTGAGAGGGTGTTATTCACCCAAGATCAACCAGTGGTTTTGCATGCCCAAGACAGGATTTAAACCCTGGTCTCCCAGTGCCCTAGTTGTTGGCTCAAACCACTACACTACGAAACTAAGTCAGTAGCTTCTACATACCTGGAGAACTTGGGAGGTGTATAAAGTTTTAAACTATTTGCTTTAAAAACACCCACTGGCTGACAAAGACTTGTGAGATTGTAACACATATTTAGTGTTGATAACTGTTGAGATATTGGTGCTACAGTAATTCATTCCACTTTCTTCATATTGGAAATTCCAGGTTCTCACTGAATGACAACATGAACAACTGTATTAGCTACTACCTTTTCTACAGGGGGCTGTGCAGAGGATGCTTCTCATCAATCACACTTTAAGTTATTTGAATTTTTCAGTAATTTCTATGGATAGCTTTCTCTTCCAAATAATTAGTGAGGAACCTATCATAGACAGGCCACATGTAACCTGGAAGGTTTGCCCTCCCAACTCTCCTCATGTAATTCTTAACTTTGATGCCAATGGGCTTTATTTTTAAGCTTATTTGCTGCAGTAGAGGGGATTCGAAGGGGAGAGGAACACCACTGGGGCAGGAAGGGTTAACCTTTTCCTTATCTTACAACACACTCCTTATCTTTAAACCTCCCCCCACCTATGCAGTTCCTCACAGCTGGTCTATATGGATTAAAGACTAGTCAGACTGCATATCTTAGTTAATGATGGAAACCTTTGAGAGGGCTGAAGAACAATGAAATTGTGCAGTGGACTGAAGAATTAAACTATGAAGAGCCATTCAGAGAATGAGAACTGACCTGGTGAGACCTCTTAATAGTTTATAGTAAGGACTATGTTCATAATAATAGTTCAGGTGTGTTGTGTGCTTTCAAGTCATTTCCAACTTATGGCGACCCTAAAGTAAACCTATCATGGGAGTTTCTTGCCAAGATTTGTTCAGAGGCGGTTTGCCATTGCCTTCCTTTGAGGCTGAGAGCATGTGACTTGCCCAAGGTCATGAGTGGGTTTCATGACTGAGCTGGGAATTGAACCCTGGTCTCCAGAACCATAGTCCAGCGCTCAAATCACTACACTACACTGGCACTCTATAGTAAGGTAGAGTTAGGGATGGGGAGGATTGAAGCTATGAAGTTAATAATAAACCTTATTCTCCTTGTTCTGGTTGGGACAAAGGAAACAAGAAAGAAACATAATTCCCATTCATGGATGACAGATAGTTGTCTAGAGCTATATATGACAGCAGGAGAGGCTTCAGGTAGGGGGAAAGGGGAGGGAAGTCTCCCATACCCCTTGCAATGGGAGATAACTGGACAGCACTACAAGAAACTAAGATGTTCAACCACTATGAGACTTTTTAGTGAAAAAAAACAAATATTTTTGTACTCTTTTCTCTGTGCACAAAAACCATTTTTCTACAAAAAGTGCATGCAAGTGCAAAGCAAGCAAAGATTTATATCTTTTGTTACAATATAAAATTACAGTGGGCCCTTGGTATCCACTGGAGTTTGGTTCCAGGATCCCCCGTGGATACCCAAATCCATGGATGTTCAATTCCAATAAATACAGTGGTGTAGTAAAATGGTGTCCCTTATATAAAATGGGAAAATCTAAGTTTGCTTTTTGGAATTTGTATTTTTTTAAAAAAAATTTCAAGCCATGTATGGTTGAACCCATGAATAAAGAATAATCCATGGATACAAAGGGCCAACTGTACATAAACATGAGGAAATTAAATAGCACAAAACAGAACTATTACCTCAGTTACAAATAAACTCTGAGCTTCTTTCTCTGCATTATCAGGAACTGTAGAGCATAAATATCGGTGCTGTCGTTTCAATATTGCTGTCTTTAATATGAGGGGAAAAAACAATGACAAAAAGAATTCCCCTAAGTGCAGTATAATCTCATTATGCATTCATAACTAGGCATCATTGATTATCTTTACTACATGGACCTATTTTTTTCTAGGCAATATTAAGATACTACAAATGGCATTCTCATAATCAATACATTTTAAACCTACGCTTTAAAGAGCTCTGCCAAAATGCTCACAACCCCTTTTTGAAATATAAATATAAATATATTGAAATATCAAGAATTCCAAGACAAATTCCACACCATTTTCCCATTCTGCATCATCTATAAATATTTTTCTTTGTTTGATGAAACAAATGAAACTCCCCTATTAATCCATTTTGAATTCTTTTTTTTTCCCAATTAGCACAGAGAAAAATACCCCCTCTTCCAATTTCCCTCATTGTGTGGAAGCAGGAAATACATGTGATGCATTGTGGCCATTTTTCAAACTTCTACGTATGTTTAAGGGAACATACATCAGTAGGGGGACTGGTTTAAAAATAACCCTGTGGCAACCACCTTTATATGACAACAGCATTTCTCTAAGACCATGGGCCTTTACAGACTGCAAGAAATAATGTATTTTGAGGACACTTTACCTGTCCTGGCTCATTGCTAGGGAATCATGGGAACTGTAGTCTATTGTGGCACCAGAGCTCTCTGACAGCTCTCTGACAATTCCCATGATTCCCTACCACTGAGCCAGTACAGTTAAAGTGGCCTCAAGCTGCAGTATTTCTGCCAGTCTGTAAAGGCCTTATGTTAGTGGGCTGGGGGAACAGCTGGCATTAAAAAAAATTGAAAAAAGACACAGAACAAAAGGAATCTATCACTACTACAGTAAGCCCTTCCCCTAAACATTGTGAAAAATCTCCCCTGAAATTTGCAAGAGTTCCAGCCCCTCCCTTTACTTATTCTAACAGAATGTTAAAATTCAAGGTGGAATCTCTTATAAGAACTTTCATCTGAGTTCTACTTTCACTAGAATTATTTCTCTCCTCCCCCCAAACCAAATTAGACTCTTGCTAGTCCTGTTTCTTTTCCTCCCACCAATGCATGCCTGACCTATTAAACCCAATTCTTTCTTATCTTTCCATAAATTTGACAGGAAAAATAACTCACATAGTCTAAGGGGGGAAGCACACGAGGGCGTCCGAGACGCCGCGGGACGGTGCGCCGCGGGACCACGGCATCCGCACCACAGCGCGCCGTCGGCGCCTCTGAAAGGAGCGCTAAATCAGCACTCCTTTCAGAAGTCCATGAAAGTGCGCCCTAAAAGCGTAGGGTGCACTTTCACTGATTTATCCGCCACAGCGTGTGAGGACGCTGCGGCGGGAAGTTGCCCTCGGAGCGCCGGCCGTGTGGAGGGCCGGCAGCTCCGAGGGCAACCTCGGGAGGAGGAAGGGCACGGATCGTGCGGCTGCCCCTCCTCTTCCCTGCCTCGGAGACGACTCTATTAGTCGTCTGTCGAGGCCCTAAGTCAAAAAGAAACTCTTTTTTGGTATCAAACCATTGCACAAGAGTCAGCAACAAAAAATTATCACATTTAAGCTAATAGAAGGCTATAATCTGTTTTAGTAGGCTATAGTTATCACTTCCTTCTCAGTACAGAGTCAGATATCTGTAATTGGCTCAGACACCCTAGTTCCATGATGGCAAACCTATGGCACACGAAGCCATTTTTCCCAGCATGCGCCTCTTCCTCCTCCTCCCCTCCCCCACACTGTCCATGGAGAGACAGCTGAACGCCTGGAAGAGCAGGGTGGGTGGGGGTGGGGGATGGAGAAGTCTCGCTCTGGAAGTCCTGCCCCCAGCACTGGGTAACACTCAGTGCCTTTTAGTTTGGGCACTCGGCCCCTAAAAGGTTTGCCATCACTGCAATCACCTAGTTGGATGGTATTTGCTTAGAGGTTATTAGCCAATGGAGCTAAGATACCCGTGGAAATTACAAATATCATATTATATAAAGGAACTGGTAAAACAGTTGTTGTTTTTAAAGTGCCTGTATCCTATATATATATATATATATATATATATATATATATATATATATATATATATATATATATATAGGATACAGGCACTTTAAAAACAACAACTGTTTTACCAGTTCCTTTATAAAATATGATATATTACATAAATCACTTGGTAAAAATTCTAGAACCATAAATTGATAAAGTCCATGCCTTCCTCTATGGCCTGAAAGAAAGAATATTAGGTAAGAATGGCTGTTCCTAGTTCAGAATTTGATTAGCATTGGTGCAGCATTTGAGTATTTTCAGATGGGAGGGGGCAAATTACAACTGGTGTCCATGGTCTAAAAAAACCTGGTTTTTAGACCAAGAAATACTACTGGTACACAAACACTTTGCAAGACAAGTATGCATGTAAAGTATTACACTTCAGGAAAAGTGTAAGTAAAGTATTTTTAAAAGTGTACATGCGTCACTAAAACTTGCTCTTATCTTTAGAGATGAAAACTTATTGTGAGAACTTCCAACAGACTAAATTCTGCAGTGTACAGTATGGTCCTTGCACTTCATACACCTAGATTATCCATTTCTACCATCTCTACTCTCATTATAAAGAATTAATCACTAAAAAATAAACAGAAGGAAGAAAAATAATGGATGCTATTTGAACAGCTCTTTATGCAATGGTCAGAACCTGTGTAGAATGTTCTTCCAAATATATGTCAAACTTAATTATCCTAATGTAACATTGTCCTATGTAGCAGGCGTGTTAACTGAAAAATGTGAATCAAATTTCTCCTTCTCCTATGCCATATATTCTATTGGTGCTTCCAAACTGGATGGCTTCCAGCCTTATCAATCAATATGCATGGTGAAACTATTCCATCTTTCCCTCCTTAATTGATTTTATGTGGCCAAAAGCTAACAAACAGATGTGCTATAATAGGTAAAATATGGATTTTCTAAAAGAATAGAATTAATGTCATCTGGATTCCATCCAAAGTTCTGTGAATGAAGGAGGACAATTGGACAAAAATATTCATCTGTGAATCTCTTAGACAGTATTACACGTAATTGGAATCTCAGCAGTTTGGTAACAAGACCCAGGATGTTTAACTGCCTTTGAGATATATATACACTTGCTATTGTTTGCAGTCACACCTGCTTCCTGAATTCAATACTGGTCCTTCAGTGGATATTTCTTCCGAGCTCAGCTTAAAATATCTTTATCCAAACAGACAAGATAAACACAGCTGAACTCCTTTAAAATGGGGTATATTTACAAAGATAAGCAGCATGCTCATTTTCATAAAAAGTATGCATCCCAAGAATTGAAATTCAGTAAGAAAACTTTCAATGTCTGATGAAAGTTCAAACAATCTTCATATATCTGATGATCTTCTCTCAACACTGTCGATGTTGTAATAATACAAAGTACTTATGTGAAATGAACAATGCCATGTGGGTCACCTTAAAAACAGCAGGATGTACTATTTTCAATCAAGAATGTAAAAAATGCTTTACTAACAGAAGCTTCAAAATAATTGCAACTGTGACAAGTACTCTGCTTATGAAAATTACATATGTGTGTTAGCCAAAGCTGTGCCTACAGCAATTGTATAATAATGATATACAGCACTGATCTCCCCCATGACAGTTGAAAAGCTTCTAAAATAAATTGTCTTCCCCACCCCCATTTTCTCTGATTAAAATAATTCTACAGTTCTGTGATAACAGAGTGTTTAGCTATTTAGGGTATGTGACAGTATAATACCGCTGTTTACATTGTTGTAATAAAGTCATAGGTGTTGTATTATGATATAAAACATGAAAAGTAATGCAAGACGCTAATTGATAGAGATGGACTTTACATAAAACAGAAACTTGCTAAAGTGTTCTTGCTATAGGAATTGTAGTTTATTGTGGCAACAGAGCTCTCTGACAGAGAAGGCTCAGTATCTCAGAAAAACCTACAATTCCCATGATTCTCTAGCATTGAGCCAGGGCAGTTAAAGCAGTCTCAAGCTGGATTATTTCTGGCAGTCTGTACAAGCCCTTAGACAGTCAGAAGGGAAGGCATAAGTAGAACTTTGGATCTATATATACAAGTGGGATCTTAGTATACAAGTGGGAACAGATGAAAGGAATCAGTCTATCTGGTATTGCAATCCTATCTAATTTAAGATATTTTTTAAAACCAAGAAACAGGATTTAACAAAAAGCTTACCTAACTAAAGGTAAGCAAAGCAAAC